AGTAATGGTTTACATTAAGCTCCCAAGAACTTTCATCATTTTGCAAAAACCCCTAATAGTTTTCAAAATAACACTAAAGCCCCAATGACTTTTGTGGAAAACCCCCAAGAAAAACCCTAAATTATCTTTTGGGTAAATTACAGTAAACCCCCAACAACTTCCAAAATGCATGCCTTTTTATGGTGTTTTTTGGTTCTAATTTATAGTGCTTTTCTGCAAATCTCTAAAACTTACAGGAAATTCTCTGCAATATTTAAAGTTATTGGGTGTTTAGTGCGCTTTCGAGATCTATTTAGGGTTTACTATAAAACACCAAAATAGGGGTGCATTCGGTCCGGATACGGCTCAGACATGATGTTTACCATATTCGTATCCGCTTACCCATATCGGATACAGATACAAATATATCTTGGTATAAAAAATTCATATCCATATCCGCTAAAATCAGATACGATTACAGATATACATGTGGATATATAAGCGGATATGCATGCAGATACAAAACGTATATGAGAAAAATAGATAGTATTGAGAAAAATATAGTTCATGTGATACAAAAAAGTTCATTATTATGTTCATTATAACTGAAAAGTTAAGATTAGACATCTTGATCATCAAAATTAACCATAAATCCATAATCTAAGAATTGAAATTATCGTAAGAATATGACTAATATGTATTCGTATATTTCGAATACGGATACAGATATTTCATTACAAAACCATATCTGTAATCATATCTTATTCGTTATAGATTTGAGTATCCATATCCGTATCCTAACGGATACGGTTACGGATATTTCCTCGCATACGGATACGGTTTAGTACCCCTACATCGAAACCGCTCGTGGGTTTAGTGTAATTTACCCCTATTAATACTCGTGCTTGTAAGTTGTGAGAGCGAAAAAAAAAAACAAAACTAGTTACAGTATTGGGCCTCCGCTCGGCCCAAGTACAGTCCCAAGCCCATCTACCGATCTGAAGCGGATTAGAGAAAGAAAAAGAAACCCTAGACAGTTTTTTCTTTCTCACCTGGTTAGCCATGGGAGACGAAGCATGGTGGTGGGCGGCGGCGAGCGGCGCCCAGATAGCGCTGGGCGTCTTCTCCTACAGAAGAGGATGCGGGGAGAGCGGGCACATGATGCCCTTCAAGGCCTTCTCCATCGCCACCCTCTTCGGCCGCCGCCTCCGCCGTCGCCGGAACCCTAGCTGCCACCGGCGTTCACACCGTAAGTTTTCGTTTTCTTTCCTTCTTTTTTTTGATTTTTTTTATGGTGAATTAGTTGGATTTTGTTAGGTGGGCGACGCGAAGGAGGTTGGTGTTGAGGTTCGGAGATGGATCAAGCCTCCTCGATCCAGGGAAACTAATTAATTAATTTTCGATTTGATTTCTTTTTTTTTTTCGGGGGGGGG